ATGTGCAATTCAGGGCCAGCAGCATTTATACTGGCACCACTGCTGCATAGAAAGCCTAGGGCTTTAAAGTTATAAGAAATAAAACAGGTCCCCCAAGCTGCCGTTTAAATGATGAAAAGGCTTCTTCTTCCAAGAGCTGCAGGTGCTGTGTTGTGGATCTCAGCTCAGTTGCAAACTCAAAAAAAAAAAAAAAAAAAAAAAAAAAAAAAAAAAAAAAAAAAAAAAAGGGAGGAGAAGGGAGACTGAAGACATGTATTTGTTTGTGCTTTCCTTTGCTCCTTTTGGGAGACAGATAGGGACTTGGGAGACCTAGGCTCTATGCCCAGCTCTGTCATTGGCCTGGCAAGTTATGTTACCTCCCGCTTTGTGAAATTCGAATATTGGCACTTATTTCCCTAGTAAAAGTCCTTAAACTCTACTGGTAAAAACAGTGCGAGAGAAGTAGGTTTTGGTGGTTGTTTAACCCCCACTTGTCTCCATTAATGGCCACTGCAATGCAGATGTGGGTACTAAGATGGAGAACTTTCATGGGCTGCAGGGAATGATGGCAGTGAGAAAGTCAAAGGCTCAGTTTCTAGGGAGCACAATTGTATTCCTGTAACACTTGGATTTATTTCTCATAAACCCAGTTGCAGCTGCACCTTCTTTTGTATGCCACAAGCATGCACGTGCCTGCTGGGAAAGTCTGGGTGGTTCTCCTATATCCCAGCAGGGCACAGGGCGTCTGCAGCCCATGGCCAGAGAGCATTCCTTCAAGCATACGGAGAATACCCTGAATCCAAGGAGAAGATGGGAGCGGTCAATACAGGTGGGACTAATGCGGGGGCCATCCAAGCTGTACATTAACACCACTTCTACCTGGTTGCAAGAAGAGAGCCATGTGCCAGGCTGGGCTGCGGGCCAGGGTGACACTGCCACAGCTAATTGGCTGGAAGCCTGTTCTACATCCTTATAGTTAAGAGTGTTCTTGGAGAGACCCAGTGGATAAAATGGTAATTCTAATACTGAAGCATAGTAGCTGTTTTTTTCTTCTAAACAGGGGTCACTGGCTTATACATCAGGCGCATTATATTCTTGTGTCCAAGTTCAGGCAAGAAGGGCTCCAACAGAATTAGCATCTTTAGCACTTTCACTCTTGCTCTCTGCTGTCTCCTTCCCACGTCTGTGTTCTCTGGAGCGCTGCTATCTCTTTGACACACTGGTATTTTGAAGGGGAAACAGTTCCTGGGAAACCAGGGAGGAGGAGGGGTGGAGAAAGACCTTGGCAAAAGCCAAGTGAATCTGAGAGTCAGTGGCCCTAGGCAGCTTACTCTCTTCCTTACTCTAATAAAGTCTCCTCTTCAGTCTTGGAAGAAAGTAGCTCCTTGCTGCTTACCTTGCCTTTGTCCAGTGGCAGCAGTGCCTAGGGTAGCCCTGGGAAGAATTTTTGTCCTAAATGTCTTGTAAGTTTGACAGTCCAGAAGTGGCTGGTATTACTTAGAACTGCGTGATCTGAACATAGACTGGGGAGCCAGCAAAAACATGATGCTTATCCTGCCTCTAAAACTGGCTCCTCCTGTGGCCTTGGACATGTGGCTTCATTTTACAGCCTGGAGTTTTCCCACTATCAGATAGGGGATCACATGCCCTTTGCCGGAGGTGCAATGGTTGTAAAATGCTTTGGAAGTTAAAGGCCTAGTAAGCCAAGTCCAGCCACCTACCACCTTACTGCCACTGGGAGCATCCCAGGTAGGCTGGAAATGGGCAAGCCATGCTTGGAAACCTGGGCTGCCATGTCTTTTTCTCCTGGGCCTTGATCCCGCCTCTTGCCCATGTGCAACCGCAAACGGAGACAGACGGGAGGAAGAGCAGGGGAAACCCAGGTGAGTTCTGATGAAGCAAGTTAAGACCAGCTTGGCAGGCAGGATTTTTGGCTTTCTGCCCGTCTCTGTTTCATGGCTAGAAGCCATGACTCAGCTGGCTCCTGTAACAGCCGCGTGATGTAGGAGTTAAGCTAGTGCAGCTGTTCCTCGGTAGAGCTCTCTTCCAGGAGGGCCCTGTTTGCTCTGGTGCTGCTTTGTCTTGAGTTGGTTTCTCCTGACATAGAGCATCTCCACTGACTGCTGGGACAGACCCTTGCTCCCTGTGTTCCCACTGCAGGCATTTCAAGTGGCTGAAGAGCAGCTGGGGATCCCTGCCTTGCTGGACGCTGAGGATATGGTAGCGCTGAAGGTGCCTGACAGGCTGAGCATCCTCACATACGTCTCCCAGTATTATAACTATTTCCATGGACGATCGCCTAGTGAGTACCTGCTCCCCCTACTTTGCTGGGTCTTCTGGACCCCCTTGTGCTTACATCCACTCCCAGAAATCTGGAGAGGGAAAGCTGTCAGCCATCCAGCAGATCAGGTGGACAAACAAAGACAACCTTTTTGCCTTTGTACATGCGCCATCCATGCAGAAACAGGAGCTAAGGAGAGCTGAGTCTGTTCTGATGTGCGGACTGAGTGTTCACTAGTCCTCAGACTGACTTCTGTGAAGGGAAGCTAGGGACTCTCAGGGTGCAAAATCTGTCTCTGAGCTAAGGAAGGCATAGGTAAACCAGGCCCTGGCAGGTGTCCATCTTCTCTCTACATAGTTGGGGAAGGACTGAGGCAGTAGGGTTTTCAGCACTGGTTCAGTGTAATGGAAGCACATACGGTGGTTTCTGGATTAGGGAACTGGACAGTGGGGAGGGGACGAACCAGCACCAGCTGGGAGGGATGAGCGTGTATATGAGTAGGTGTGTAGAGTTGTGTGAGAGGGCCAATGTGGGAGTGGGAGAGGAGGAGTGAGAGTTAAGAGGAAAGGTAGAAAGTAGTGAGCATACAGGGGAAGGGACTATGCATTGTGTTGGCTCAGGGGGGACAGTAGTTTTACTAAGAGGCTAGATGAGGTCTAGTCAGGTGCCTGATAAATGCATCTTGCACACATGCCATGATCCAGAGGATTTACGGTTGCCCACCAAATGATAGAGGAGCATAGGATGGTTTGGATAGGGATGATCCTGCTTCAGGCAAGAGGTTGGGCTAGATGACCTCCAGAGCTCCCTTCCAGCCCTGCTTCTTTATGACTCTCTGGGAGAGAGCGCTGTCACTGGCTCCATTGCTTCCTCTATCACCTGCCCCAGGTTAAACCAAGTCAGAACCCTGGTTTGAAACCCACTGAATTTGGGCAGTGCCCAGAGGCAGGTGAGGGAAGAGGCAGGGTCTGAACTCTACACTTCAGTTCAGACTTTGTGGCTTGAGCCTTTCTCTCTAATTCTAAAAGTTCAGTATTTTTAACCCTCGGTTTTTACATCTCCATTGTTTCCATTGAGCTCTAAAATCCATCTCTCTGGCATATGGGTTTAAAAAACAAACCCTGCATACCTAGCAGGGGGTGGGAGGCTGGAGAGATGTAGTGCAAGCACCAGGACCTTGGTTATTGTACAAGTTCAGAGCTTTACTTACAAAGGGGCAACAACTTACTGACTGAAAGGAAGGCCTTATCTACTCCAGGAGTGCTTTGCTGCCTAGAGGTACTGGCATACAGTGCTGGCTAAGTGCTTTGTGGATGCAATTGTGTTAGCACAGTTGTGCTTTGTACCAGTATAAAAAGCCTCATCCTCCCCAAGCCAAGCAAGCTTTACTAGCGAAAGGATAGGCTTGCCAATAGACCTATACTGATACTAGCAGTTTCTGTTCATCCCTGCCGCAGCAGTGCCACACCTAATACTCATGACCTTGAAGCTATGCTGCCAGAAGCCTGTGGGATAGATGTAGCCAAAGTTATACTGCTGGAAACACATTTGTACCAGTATGACTGCATCTATAGTAGGGCTGTTACTGATATGGCTGCACTGGTAAAAAATTTGCTGCCTAAATTGACGTAACCAAGGCAGTTAAACAGAAGTCCATTCTTTCTTCCTGTAGTGACTGTAAGTTCAGCTGATATGATTCTGTTTCCGTGGGGCTCACAGCCCATCTCGTTAAGTGCCTCCAGAATACAGTTATAGTAAAACCGAAGTGTGAAACCAGGCCTAAGGGCTACAGAGAACATTATACTCAAGTAACGGAGAGTATGTTCGATGGCATTTATCAGGAGCGCTGTTCTCTACCTTGTTTAAAACTAGTAAAAATGAAATAATGCAATAAACCAAATTCCTGTTTTTCCTCGAGGGACATGCCTGACTTGGTAGAGGTTGTGCACCAGCTGTAGAGGACAGATCGGAATCATAAATACCCAGTAGTTTGGGGTAGGCTGTGGAGGCAAACGCTTCCCTCCCCTGCCGTTGCTTGTTTTTAAAATACTTTTCAAGGAGCAGAGTGTTCTTGCCCTTCTCTTCACCTCCCACCCTCACTTTAATTTTTCTTTTTTTTTTTTGGGCTTGTCTTTGTTTTCATTTTTCATCATGGATTCAAACAAATATGCTGTGATGTGTTTGAGCGGCGTGGTGGGAATCATGCCAGTTTGGGGGTCTTTGCTCCCATTCTTGGAGGGACTGGCCTTACCACATCATTAAAAGCTCCACATTTTTTTTCCTCCCCAGTGTCCGACAGAATGAGAAAGCTGGGGTGGGTGTACGTATCCAGAACCGCAGGCTGGGGAATGTGCCTTCTGACTAGGAGCAGGCGCCACGTTCCATGGACCGTGACCCTTTGCCTTCTGCATCCTGTTTATTATGTAGGCTCCAATGAAGTTTTGCAAGCTCAAGACGAGGGACCAGTCAATGTTTACTGAGGTTACGCATTGACATTAGAGCAGCATCCCTCCTTTCCCTGTCCTGGGTTTTGGAAACTCATTAGGCAGAATCAGTGCAAAGTGAGTGCATAGTTGGAGTCTAGACCTTTTGCTGTGTTGGGTGTCACCTGCAATGCTGTCCCTGTGGTAAAATGTCATTTGCTGTTTGTTAGGATAGCTGCCCGGGTTTTCTTTAGAAGAGGCTGCTTTTGTCTGGCTCTGAGATTTGGGCTTCTCTCCTATCATTCTCTTACCCCTTTCTCTTTCTGAAGGAGAAGGAATCTCATCATTCATTTGGCTGTTTAAATGGAAACTGTGGCTAGGGAATATAGGGAATAGTTCGTTGCCAAGCCACACTCCGGCCCTGAAGGAATCTGGTTCTGTATGGGGGCAAGGCATGAAGAAACTTTTTGACTTGTGGAGATACAGGGCTGGAAGGGAGCTCTGGAGGTCATTTAGACGAGGGCCTGCTTGAGGAAGGATCATCCCTAGCCAAACCATCCCGTACAAATGCTTGTCTACCCTGTTCCTAAGACTCTACGAGCAACCTTCTCGCAGCAGCTTAAAGGACGAGATACCCTCACCCCCAGCCCTGCCACTCCGGACCCTGGTGCTATCCTACACTGGAAAGCTGACTTTTTAGTGAGTCTCTCCCTGCCCCTCCTGAGGGCAGAGGCAGTTGTTCTCTAGCCCTATCTAGACTTTTGGCCATGATTCCCTTCCCTCTCCTTGCACTTGTTTCAGGGTTTAGGGGGTCTTTTTCACACACTGCACAGAAGAGAGAAAGGGACTTGTTCTCCTGTGTGTAGTGTGGGCCCAGGCCTGTGCCTGAAAGGTGGCCAGCCTGTGGCACATATACCATGAGTGGCATGGGCGGCCTTTGTGTGCGGTCTGTGGCAGATCAGGGAGGGAGCAGAGAGCAAAGCAGCAGATATGTAGTCTGCAGAAGAGAAGACAGCAGGGCAGGATGGGGTATAGTTTCTTTCTCTTTAGACTCTACCATGATGTCTCGAAGTCTCATGTTTTCCTTTCTCAAGGATCACTTTGTTTTTCCATCTGCTTGTGGGGAAGCCTGTTGGCTTTATGAGGACTTTGTAGGAAAGGAGGTATTTACCATGCATCTCAGAAGGGTTGCTGTGCCATGGACTTCCTGTGGGCAGGTCAGTTAGCCTCTCAGTGCCTTAGTTCCTCCTCTGTAAAATAGGGATTAGAGCACCTCCCTCCTGTTCAAATGCCTTCACATGCCAACTATGAGGCGTTTGGATACTGTAGTATGAAGTGCTGAGTATCATTGTCTTGCCCAGGCTATACAACTAGCAATCTGAAGGGAGGTGGTCTTCTATCTCCCCCTATGGAGTTTGCCCAGGAGTTGGTCCTTCAAAAAAAAGACTCCATATTTACCTAGTGCCTGACAGGGCCCTGTTCAGGACCTTTGGTCATTACTGTAATATAATTATCTTTCACACCAGTGGTTGGGTCTACGTTCCATTGAATAGTTTTCCTCTCTCCTTCCTGCCAGTCGGTGGCCTGTCTGGAATCAAGCGGCCCTCTTCTGAAGTCAGTGGGGAGCCAGCTGGGAAAAAAGTAATCTCCGAACCTGTTAAGCCAGCCCCCACAAAGCCATCACGAGCCTATCCACCACCTACTCCCAAGACAGGACCAGCAGTGCCAGGACAGGATCTGCCAAAGGAAAATCCTCCTGTGACAGCGGTAAGAAAACATTACTCTTTAACCTTTCTGGAGGAGTCAGAGACTCATCATCTTAGTCTGAGGGTTTCCATTAGCTGAGGGTGGTATCTTGACTATCTCTGTATAAGCCCCTGGCTCTCCCATCCTGGGATTAAACCTGGGGCTATACTTAGTATAGATGGACTCCACACCCAGGGTGACTGCTTGTTGACTGTTGTTCACAGTCCTACGGTGATTGGACTAGACATCTCACTGATTGCTGATGGACTATATCAGCTGGCTTTTTAGTTAAGGCTTCTTACGCTGATTTAGATTATCGGTGGTTGGGATTTCTCCAGCAAACCTTCGATTCATCCAAACCCAACCCTTTGTTGCCTTGACCCCTATATTTCTGGTCAGGAGAGAGAATGTAGCCCTCACTGTTCCAGAATAGCCAATAATCCAGTAGTCAGGTGCCCAGCTAGGTGGTAGGAAATCAGGCACCAGTCCCTGTCCTGCCAGATTGAAACTGGGACTTGAACCTGTCTCCTGTACTGAGCACCCGTCCACCAACCCGTTGGTAGTTCTGAGGGCGAGTTAATCTTGGTCTCTGCAGCTGAAGCTGCCCCTCTCTAGAAATTCAGCTTGTCCCAGATCAGGAACTTGCTCTCCCACCTCCCAGGCATCTTTCTAACATTGCTCTTGTGTACATTGAATACTGTTGGCCACCACTTCTCATTTTTCCCCTTTCCTCTATGCAGAAAAGGGTCCTGGCAGACAGCAGTAATGTGCGTAGCAGCAGCTGTGCCATCTGTGGGGACCATGTGCACCTGGTGCAGCGATACCTGGTTGATGGGAAGCTCTATCACAGGAACTGCTTCAGGTATGGCTCTGGCAGGGGATGGAGAGGTTCATTCCTGCTGGGGGGTCAGCATGGCCCCTCTTTGGGCAGGAAGGAGTGCAGCACTTGCTATGCAATCCTTTCCCTTATCCAGCAGCCTGTTAACCTAGGGGCTTTGCTGTGTTTTACCTGCAGTGAACTTTTGGAGACTAGGAAGGCAGTTTCCAGGATGGTAAAAAGGCTCCTCAGATCAGACTTGGTGGGGTAGGCCTGATTTGTAGTGTTAGAAACCATATGCCTCTGTGGAAGCCCCTTTCCTGGTTCACTTGTTACTGGTAGCATCAGGCTCCTCATGGTCTTGTGGTACAAATGTCCATACCTCGGGGAAGCTCACGGCACTGGCTCATTGCCATCAGGACCTCTCATGCCACAGGCTGTGATCTGAATGGTTCACTCTTTGGTGTTTACACGGGGAATGCTTCATTGTGCATGTAGGAGAGTTGCATGCATTTCCTCACTGAACAGATAGTATGGCCCTTACAAGTACCCCATGTCCCTTTCTCCCCTGTGTTGGCTCTAGAGTTGTCCCTGCAGGCTCTTGCTGAGTTCACCTGACTCTGGGGAATGTTTCCTAACACTTCCTTGCAACTGCCCATAGATGCAAACAGTGCTCGAACACGCTCCTCTCTGGGGCCTACAAATCTGGGACAGAGCCTGGGACATACATCTGTACCAGCCACCAACAGCCAGCCAGAAGCACAGGGTACAATCCTGCCATTTCAGCCAGTGATGCCTCAGGAGCTTTCCAGAAAGTGGTGGACTCCAAGAAGCCAGCCCAGGCATCGGCCCAAACAAGCCAGGCAAGCAAAGACGCTGCTTTCACCTCCGATTCTGCCAGTTCCACCAAGCCATTTGCTGGGAGCAGCTCTGGCTTTAAAAGTCTAAATGCTCCACAGTCACCTCCTGCTGGGAATAAACCAGATCAGCGTGAAAGTGCCATATCACCTTCTTGGACGTCTATTGCAGCCAAAACGCAGCAAGCCCGAGAGAAGTTCTTCCAGTCTGGTTTGGGTGACTCGGGGCCTTCGATTAGCAAAGCACCAGCTGCCAAAGACCAAGTTGTTAATTCACCTCCCTCTTCAGCAGGTGGCAAAGCTGCCTTTAGCAAAAACTTTTCTGATGTACGTGGAGGCAGCAGTGAGAAGGATAAAGCACGTAGTTTTCTCAGGCAGGCTCTCCCTGGATCTGATGCCTCTACGGACAGGCCTGGAGGGGTCACTACTGCTGGCTCCCAGGCCCCCAGCAGGTATGAACTTTCTTTCGCTCCTATCTCCTGGCTGGGATAGCAGGCCAACCCAGGAAATAATGGGGCA